TTTCCTTATTGTTGATTTTTAAAGAGTTCATTGTATATTTTGGATACAAATCCTTTATCATATATATTTTGCAAAATTTTTATCCCAGGTTGTGGCATATCTTTTCATTTTAACAGTGTCCTTCACAGAGCAGTTTTTAATTTTAATAAAGTCCAACTAATTTTTTTCTTTCATGAATCATGCTTTTGGTGTTGTAGCTAAAAAGTCATCGCCAAAGTCTGTGTCAGTCCTCCAACTTTGTTCTTCTTAAGTATCTTGGCAGCTACTCTGGGTCTTTCCCTCATTAACTTTAAAATTTTGTCAACATCCACAAATACCTTGCTAGGATTTTTATTGAGATTTCATTGAATCTGTAAAGTCAGGAAGACATAACACCTTAACAATATTTAGTCTTCCTACACATGAACATGGAATATTCTTCTATTTATTTCTATCTTCAATTTGTTTCATGAGACTTTTGTAGTTTTCCATATAGATCTTGTACAAAGTTAATTTCGTTTCCTTCCTTCCTTTCTTCTCTCTCTACTCTCTTTTGGTGCTAATGTAAATGTTTTAAATTTCTAATTCCAAATGTTCATCCCTGGTATATACAAGAAAGTAACTGAATGCGTATGAACCATACATTCTCTGTAAACTTGCTATATTCAGGTTTTAGTTCCAAATTATTTTTCGTTGAGACATAGGAATTTTGTCTTATTGCATTAGCAAGAACTTCCAGAGCAACATTAAATAGGAATGATGTAATCTACTTGCCTTGTTTCCGTTCTTCAAGGGAAAGCATCTGATGTCCCACCATTAAGTATGTTAGCTGTAGGATTTTTGTAGATATTCTTTATGAAGTTAAGGGTTTTCTTATATTCCTAGTTGGCTGAGAGCTTTGTTTTTATCACAGATAGGTGTTGGCTTTTTTGTCAAATGGCTTTTCTGCCTCTGTTGATATGATCATGACTTTCCTCCTTTCGTGTGATAATGTAATGGATTATATAAACTGATTTGTTGAATCAGCCTTGCATACCTGAAATAAATGCCACTTGACTGTGGTGTATACTTTTTTGTTATATATTGTTGCGTTAGATTTGCTAATATTCTTTGTTTGTTTTTTGAGACAGTTTCGCTCTTGTTGCCCAGGCTGGAGTGCAATGGTGTGATCTTGGCTCAATGCAACATCCTCCTCCCAGGTTCAAGCGATTCTCCTGCCTCAGCCTCCAGCCTCAGCATGTTCCACCATGCCCAGCAGATTTTGTGTTTTTAGTAGAGATAAGGTTTCTCCACGTTGGTCAGGCTGGTCTCAAACTCCTGACCTCAGGTGATCTACCCACCTTGGCCTCCCAAAGTGCTGGGATTACAGGCATGAGCCACCATGCCCGGCAGATCTGCTAATATTCTGTTGAGAATTTTTACAGCTATGTTCATGAGAGATACTGGTCTGTAGTCCTTTTTTGTAACAACTTTACTTAATTTTGTTATCAGGGTAATTCTGGCCTCAGATGCTTTTGTTGTTGTTGTTGTTTTGAGACGAAGTTTTACTTTGTCACGCAGGCTGAATTGTAGTGCAGTGGCGCAATCTCAGCTCACTGCATCCTCCCCCTCCCAGGTTCAAGTGATTCTTTTGCCTAAGTCTCTCGAGTAGCTGGGATTACAGGCACGCGCCACAATGCCTGGCTAATTTTTTTTTTTTTTTGCATTTTTAGTAGAGATGGGGTTTCACCGTATTGGTCAGGCTGGTCTCAAACTCCTGGCATCGTGATCCACCCGCCTCAGCCTCCCAAAATGCTGGGATGACAGGCATGAGTCACCACACCTGGCCTCACAGAATGTGTTAAAACATTTCCTCTGCTTCTATTTTCTAGAATAGACTGTATAAAACTGGCATCACTTTCTCCTTGAATGGTAGAATTCACGAGTGATGCCATCTGAGACCAGTGCTTTGTTTTGGAAGCTCATAATTGATTCAATTTATTTTATAAGTTTATGCAAGGCAGTTATTTCTCTTTGTGTGAGTTTTGGTAGGTTGTGTCTTTCACAAAATTGGTCCATTTCATCTGTTATCAAATTTGTGCACTCAGAATTGCTCATAACATTCCTTTATTATCCTTCTAATGTCCTAATGTTCAGAAGAGTAATAATAATGGCACCTCTTTTCATTTCAGATTTTAGTAATTTTTGTTTTTTCTTTTGTTATGGCAGGAAGTTTTATAAATTTTAACTTTTCATTGAATTTCATTTGTTTCACTGAATTTCTCTATTGTTTTTGTTTCAATTTTATTGATTTCTACTCTACTATTTCTTCTGCTTACTTTGCATTTAATTTGCTCTTTTTCTAATATCCTAAAGTAGTAATTGATTTTAGATCTTTAACGTTTTCCAATATATGCATTCAATACTATAAATTTCCCTCTAGCCACTGCTTTTGCTGCATCTCACAATTTTTTTTTTTTTTTTTTTTTGAGACAAAGTCTCGCTCTGTTCCCCAGGCTGGAGTGCAGTGGTGCCATCTCCGCTCACTGGATGCTCCACATTCCAGGTTCATGCCATTCTCCTGCCTCTGCCTCCCAAGTAGCTGGGACTACAGGTGCCCGCCACCATGCCCAGCTAATTTTTTGTATTTTTAGTAGACATGAAGTTTCATCGTGTTAGCCAGGATGGTCTCAATCTCCTGACCTCATGATCCACCCGCCTCGGCCTCCCAAAGTGCTGGGATTACAGGCATGATCCACCGCGCCCCGTCGCATCTCACAAATTTTGATAATTTGTATTTTCATTTATTTCAAAATATATTTTCTCTTGAGACTTCTTTGACCTATGTGTTTAAAAGTGTGCTCCTTAATCTACAAGTATTTTGGGATTTTCCAGGTATTTTCTAATTTAATTCCTTTGTAGTTAAAGACATACAATCTACGGTGTCTTTTATTAAAAGTTAATTACCCCTTTATCACCATATGTTGCTTGATCATTTTCCTTGTTCTGAAGTCAGCTTTGTATGAAATTAATATACCTACTCCCAGCTTTCTTTTCATGAGTGTAGTTTGATATGTTAGTCTATCTAGGCTACCCTAACAAAATACCATACACTAGGTGACTTAAACAACATAAATTTTCTTTTTCTCAAATTTCTGAAGACTGGAAGTCTGGGATCAGGGTGTCATCACAATTTCTGGGGAAGGCTTTCTCATTTGTAGACAGCTACCTTCTAGTCGTATCTTCACATGGCAAAGAGAGCAAGCTCTCTGTGTCCCTTCTTATAAGGACACTAACCTTATGTTAGTCATGGTGCCACCTAACCTTAATTATCTTCCAAGATCCCTATCTCCAAATACTATCACACTGGGGGTTAGGGCTTCAACATACAAATTTGGGGAACAGGGGGAACATGAACATTCAGTCCATTAACACGTGATGTATCTTTCTCCATCTTTGTATTTAAAGTGGATTTCTTGTTTAGTCTTGTTTTTTAATCTTCTGTGACAGTATCTGTGTATTTGTGTATTTAGACAACTCACATTTAAACTGATTGATATAAATTACTATATCTGTTAATGTTTTCTATTAATTGCTCTTCTTTTGTTCTTGTCTTCCACTTTTCTGTCTTCTCTAAGTTTAATCTAGCATCCTGTACAATTCCATTGTCTCTGCTCTCTTACCAGGATTAAAGAGATATGTAACAATCTACCATCATGTGAACTGGCTCTCTGATTGTTGCAAAACAAGATTAAAATGGATAAACTTCTGGACACAGTCAAATGATAGAAGAGAATAATTATGTAACATGAAAAATAACAGCATGTATCAAATAGTGGTTACCCCAAGGCAGAGAGGACGACCTAGATAGGAAATATCAAATAACATTTCACTTTTATCTGTAATATCTGCATTTATTTCTTGTATAATAAAAAATAAATTAAAAATTTTACATCTCTACAAGCTAAAAAAAAAAAAGGCAAGATTCCATCAAAACAAAGTTGTAGGATAAACAATAATCTAGGAAAAGTATTAAGAATATTAAAAATAAGCCATTAGCAACTTTTCACTTACTAATTTTTGAGTCAGCATGTCATAAAATGCAATAAAGTATTTGATACCACTACATTTAGCAGTTGGTAGCCTATTGACATACCCCATATAAACTTTTAGAAAAATGCGGTCTATTGGTAGACACTGCAAGCATAAGGATTGCTTTTTTTTTTTTTTTCTTTTGAGACGGAGTTTTGCTCTTGTCGCCTAGGCTGGAGTGCAGCGGCGCAGTCTTGGCTCACTGCAACCTCTGCCTCCCAGGTTCAAGCGATTCTCCTGCCTTAGCCTTCAAGTAGCTGGAATTACAGGTGTGTACCACCACACCCAGCTAATTTTTGGTATTTTTAGTAAAGACAGGGTTTCACCATGTTGGCCTGGCTGGTCTCGAACTCCTGACCTCAAGTGATCCACCCACCTCGGCCTCCGAAAGTGCTAGCATTACAGGCGTGAGCCACCATGTCTGGCTCGATTTACATATTTTTAATGTTTTCATTAGCAAACACCAAAAGTGTTTTGCTAGTAATTCATGGACAACAGTACCACCTGCTCTGAAGAATTCTTGTCAGACCTACACTGCCATTTCTTCCCTCTCCAGTTACTTCAAAGAGTAAAAAGTTGCTCACCCCTTCAATATCCAACTCGAGTATTCTAGGAGGTACTTTATGTATCATCTTCCCCTAAAAGAGTTACATTCCCTAAAATATAATAGTATTTGTATTTTCTACAGAGGGATTGGTATACTTCAAATATTATTTGTTTACTTTAGAAAATAAGAAGCAATTAAGGTAAGCAAGGAACTTGGATAATATACAGTAGGAAGCACTTTCAAGTGAAAAAGTAACAAATTTCTCTTAGAAAACTAATAATATTAATGGATTTAGGATTCTCTAGTTTAGCTTGTATGCAATACTAAATGAGTCCTATATCTTAATTTATCCAGCTTTAAAAAGTATTTGCTACTTATAAAAATATCCCACATCACCAATTGCTAGAGATTTTTAGAAATAATTTTATTTAAAGAAAATTCATAGAGGATTAATAAAATGTCATGAATACAATTTTGTTGGTAATAATTAGCAGAATCAAGAGTAGATTAATATATAAGGTTACATGGTATATGAATAATACAAACTGAAATATCAATTTTATGCTAGCTTTATCCACCAGTTTTTCATATTCCAATTTTAAACAAAGCTAGAAATAAGGCAGTACATATGAAACAATTTGCTAAATACTTTTAAATTATGCCAGCTTCTACATCAGATATTACCTCAATTTTAAAACCATCCACAAATTAAATGACTTTCCCATTATAATTTCTAAATATAAAGAAGCACCAATTGGAACTCAAAATGCATGAAAGATATTGTTATACATTTTAAGAAAACATATATTAGCAATATAATAAATCAACAAAGAATTTTCCAAAGAATATTGCATGAGGCAAGGTATATTAAATGTTTTATGCCTAGAATATTATCTACCTGCATTCTTCTCCATATAGTTTAAAACACCAAAGCACTGACTGAAGAAAGGATCATTTAAAAATGAATAATAGATGGCAGCACATCCCATTTAGCGATAAAAGGAAGATGGACTATGTGCATTAATTTGCAAATAATGTTTTTTATCCAAATAGTCCTGTGGTTCCAATATACTTGAATGATAAGATTTTTTTACTGTGTGAAAAAAGAAAACATCCTTTTACTGATGGAAAGCTTCTAATCTTATTCGAGTTGGATCTTCTGGATGTCTCAAGGCAATTCCATTACGCAGCAGCAGCTCAACATAAGGTGGCCAAAAGGAATCACTAATTTTGACATATGGATCATGTGGAACATCAAATAATCTATTTATAAGAATCTAGGAGAAAATATCATTCAAAATATACTTTACTTGGGAAAAAGTCAATACAGCTATAATAAAGTTTTTTGTCAAAGAATATTGACCTCTTTTCTTTTTCAACAACTGTTTAATACTTTTAATCTACAAATTTGAATTTCCTTTTTGAAAGGACTACAGGTATTAGCTAATGAAAAAAACTTTAAAGTGAAGTTTTGCATCTTTAATTTAGAAAAACATTTCCTAAAAATTGGTAAGAAAGAATTTACAATTCTCCCACTTCTCTTGGGATTAATATCTTCTTTAGGATAAAGATAAAAATCTTAAAAAATTAATATTTCACAAAAAACACAAAAAAGTTAAAAAGAAAGTGAGCAAGTGTGTCTTAATATTTGAGGGAAAAATCACTGGTCCTGTCCTCCACAAAACACCTATTCTTCTGATAAATATTTACAAGATTCAATTTTATCACCATCGCTTCCTTCAGCTTCATCCTGAGTATCCCTGATCTGCATTAAGGATATTGTGGAATTGCAACCACAAATTGAATTTTTATTATTTGTATTAAATTATATAGGCTAGCATTTTCCAAACTGCATTCCATAGAATTAGTCTCCCTGAAGATGTTCTTAGTTCCTGAAAAACAGAGTTCTGTGATCAAACAAGCTTGGGAAAGCTTGCTAATGTGAAGTGAGAATCAGCTGTCTTTCTCAAATCCACTGCTATTATAAAAGTCTTCTGAAGAAAGAAGTATTTAGAATTGTTTGAATACTAATGTTATGAAATACAGTGAAAAACGCTAAATGTAGATCAATTATTATTTTGCCTCCTCAGCTATCTTCCAGTGCCTTCACAAATTACAAAACTAGAACTCAGAAGAGTTAAGGGATTCCTCAGGGGCACATAATCAGTGGTGGATCTTGGATTAGACTCCATATCTCAAAATTACCTCCGCATCTCAAAAATTTGTCAGGCCAAATTTTTAACTGAAAGATGCTATTATTTTAAGGAACATGGAAAAGAAAAGGCATAATTTATACAATTACAAAGTGCCATAGAAATAAATCAAATTAATCCATCAAGCTCTAATCTCAATAAAATTTTGTAATACCTTATTTCTTGAAATAAAATTTTCAACTATCATTAATTATTTCATGTCCCACATCCCATGGGAGGAAAAAAGCTTTGGCCTCATTTCTTTTGAGTACCATGATATAGAACTAAATATTAATTGTATTTTAGAGCAATGGCTTATTTTAGTACAAATGGCTTATTTTAGTACAAATCTTTCCTATTTTGCATTTCTAATTTTAATCATATTATTTTTAACCTAACTGCAGTTTTAATATTAGTTCCTTTATCACTGACAATATGAGCCTTGGAGACAAACTTAGGATTCTAATGCTAAGTTTTATATGCTGATATAGTTTAGGTGTATCCCCTGCCAAATCTCATATTGAAATGTAATCCCCAGTGTTGGAGGTGGGGCCTGGTGGGAGGTGATTGGATCATCAGGGTGAATTTCTCGTGAATGCTTTAGCATATCCCCTTGGTGCTGTCCTCATGACAGTGAGTTCTTGCAAGATCTGGTTCCTTAAAAGTGTGTGTGGTACCTTTCCCCCTCCCTCTTGCTCCCACTCTGGCCATGTAAACTGTCTGCTCCTGATTCACCTTCTGCTATGAGTAAAAGCTCCCTTAGGCCTCCCTAGAAGCTAAGCAGATGCCAGTGTCATGTTTGTACAGCCTGCAAATCATGAGCCAATTAAACTCCTTTTCTTTATAAATTATACAGTCTCAGGTATTTCTTTACAGCAATACAAGAAAGGCCTAACACATATGGTACATACTATGTACACTACTAAAAAATTATACATGTAATACCTTTCAGTATTTCCATGACTGACAATTTTCATTAAAAAAAAAAAAGTTAAGTCATCCATGAGAAACTATAGACAATTTAGTTTCAGCATAAACTAAAGTAGCTAGAAATATGTTAAAATATTCTAATTACAAATCTAATATATATTTGTATTTTGCTTTTCAAAGCAATAATATTCTGTATTAAATCCTGAGGAACCAAAACTTGTCAGCTGGGCAAAAAGAGACTTTAACACCTAGTTCATTAAGTTAAATGAAACACATTTTCTGAAATCACTCTTTCTTCAAAATTTACCAATGATTTTAAAAGGGGGTACACTAATTGGTAAATACCCTGTTCTTCATACACTATTTCATTTTCCTTTCTGCCCAATTTGTCATGAATTGTCATATCAAGATCTTCCAAAGTATTTAAAATAATTGATAATATGGTTGAAGTTCAAAAACATTTTTGAAAAGGTCGAAGATATTTATAAAACAAGGTATATGTCAAGTCAGAGAAAGTTGGAAAACTCAGTACTTACATTACAAGAAAAGAGACTGATGTTATTTTTTTTTAAATTGTACAATTCCTACAACTTTGTGGAAGGAATCTTTAAGTTCATTATGTATTTTATACAGAGTACAGAGCTACCAATTAAAGAGTCAATGTAACAGCATACAATTTTACTATGTAAATATTAGATGACATCATTAAAAATTTTTTTTCACCCTGTCAGCTCATACCTAGATAAAAACTTTACCTGTAATAAATCTTGGGAATATGATTAAGAGATAGACCTTAAATTAACATTATTTTAAAAATAACAATATTCCTTTCAGTACTATACAGGGAACAGAAACTAATTTTATACCAAAGATATATTATTACAAATATATTTAATAAAGAATGATGAATACTTTAAGAATTATTTCTTGTTTTTCAAGTCTGAGTATAATTGTTCACAAATAACTAATTAAGAGACAGCTTCAAGACAAGACAAAGTACACAAAACACTTACCTCTAACATTTCATGCAGTGTTATCAGCTGTACAGTTGATTCTTGAATGTTTTTCTTCAAGAGAAATGTGAATAACAAACAATTACCACTTCAGTTCTGCCAATGGTGAAATATTGGACTGTTTTTACAAGACTTTTATTTTATTTTTGAGAGAGTTTCGCTCTTGGCGCCCAGGCTGGAGTGCAATGGCCAATCTCGGTCCACTGCAACCTCCGCCTCCCGGGTTCCAGTGATTCTCTTGCCTCAGCCTCCCGAGTAGGTAGGATTACAGGCGCTCCCACCACCACGCCTGGCTAATTTTTGTATTTTTAGTAGATACGAGGTTTCACCATCTTGGCCAGGCTAGTCTGGAGCTCCTGACCTCAGGTGATCTGCCCACATTGGCCTCCCAAAATGCTGTGATTACAGGCATGAGCCACCATGCTTGGCCAAGAGTTTTAAAATTAGTATTTTTTAGTTGTAATGGTATAAAGTAACTAAAATCAAATATTCATAATTAAGTGACAAAAAATTCTGAAAGTAAATGTTATTGTATTTAAGTCAGATTCATAAAAATGCAGCGGAAATATCTTCTAAGACAGTGAAAACTTTTATAGTAACTGGAAGATACAATTAAAACTATCCATAAACATATAATAGATATACACATTATATATAATCATATAAAAAATTTAGTATTTAAATCCCCCAATGAAAACTCCCCAAATGACATTCTAGAGTACATTTATGCAGTTTCAGTACAGGAAACTTGCTCTTATGAGAGACTTAATTATCTTTCTATAGCTCTTGACAGTTTGTCATGTTAACTCATTAGTTGTTTCTTCCTTGGAATGACAGAGAACAAATCTCACTCCAATTCTATCCAAGAGTTCCTCAAATATTTGAAGACTGCTATTATAAGGCCCAAGTCTTCTCTTTTTCACATTAATCACCATTTGTTTCTTCCATTATTTTTTTCTTTTTTTTGGAGACGGGGTCTCACTCTGTCACCCAGGCTGGAGTGCAGTGGTGCCATCATAGCTCACTGCAGCCTTGACTTCCTGGGCTCAAGCTATCTTCCCACCTCAGCCTTCCGAGTAGCTGGAACTACAAGCACATGACACAGTAATGTTTTCGTTTAAATTTGTTTGTTTTGTAGAGGCAGGGTCTTGCTACGTTGTCCAAACTGGTCTCAAATTTTTGGCTTCAAGTAATCCTCCCACCTTAGTTGCCTAAAGTGCTGGGAATACAGGTGTGAGCCACCACACTCCACCTCAATATTTTTCATATGGCACAAATTTGAGGCTTCTCAATACCATGATTATTCTCTGAATGTGCTCTAATTTGTCTTTTGTTTTCCTTCATCTAGTCTCCCACAATGATCTAGGTGTGATTTGACTACTGAAGACAAAAAAAGAACACCCACTTTCATAATTACGGAGACCAGAATTCTATACATTAAATTTAAGATGGTATTAGCTTTTAGACGTCTATTTTTTTCCTTGTGGACTTCTGAGAATACTATCATCTAAAATGCCAAAGTATTTTTCATATATCTAGCTAAATATGTCTTCCTTATTCTATAATGTTTTAAACATAGATATCCTCTGTATTTCTACTTAAACATCATCCTATTTTATTTGCCTTAGTTCCTAACTAGCTAAGAAATAAAGTCTTTATTCCGTCATCCAACATATTTACTATCTAGCCCTCTTACTTTCACGTCATTTGTAAACTTTGATAGCCATATATTCTATCTCTTTACCTAAGTTATTGTTAAAAATGTTCAACAGGACAGACTCTAAAGGAAGCTGCTAGAAAGTTCCAAGATAATACTAATCCTAATTCAAAACTTTCTGATTAGGATTAGTATTACCTTGGAAAAAAGAAGTGAGGTTATCAAATCTGACGTAATGACCCCAAAATGGCTCATGGTAATCAAGCTTCCTTTCAAGGATGCCTCAAACCTCCGGTTCTATTAGTGGAGCAAAAGCAACCAAAAAAAGTTGAAAAAAATGGAGGAGACTGGGACCAGAAAATATATCAGTGAGTTGTTGCAAGATTAAGGTCATAAAGAGGCAAGGAATCATGACTTTAATGAAATGGTCAAAAGAAGGCTGTCATACTTTTACAAATAAATAAGAGGTAAAAAAACAATAATAGAATGGAAGACACAAATGTAAAGCCTATAGACAATTATAAGAAAGGGAAGAGTAAAAAGAACACAGATAGTAAAAACAAAAACAAACAGAACTTTTTCTCCTTTTCTTATTATAGTCACATCCATTCAATAAATATGAACTGAGAAGGCTCTATATAAAAGATATGCAAGATAGAAGAGATACAAAGATGAACTGAACACATCAAGTAGCTCACAGGTCATGGGGGTGAAGGGAGAGATACACATAAATAACACTAACAAAATCATTTGAAAAGTGTTAATAAAAGGACACCTAGAGCCAGATTCAGCAGCTCACATCTGCAGTACCTGTTGTGTGGAGGCTGAGGCGGGAGGATAGTTTCAACCCAGGAGTTCAAGTCTAACCTGGGCAACACAGCAAGACCTCGTCTCTAAAAAAGTCAATCAATAGGTCAGGTGTGGTGGCTCATGTCTGTAATCCTAGCACTTTGGGAGGCTGAGGCGGGAGGATTAACTGAGGTCAGGAGTTTGAGACCAGCCTTGACAACACGGTGAAACCCTGTTTCTACTGAAAATACAAAAAAAATTAGCTGGGTGTGGTGGCATGTAATTGTAGTCCCAGCTACTCGGGAGGCTAGGATAGGAGAATTGATCGCCTGAACCTGGGAGACAGAGGTTGCAGTGAGCAGAGATCATGCCATTGCACTCCAGCCTGGGTGACAGAGCAAGACTCGGTCCCCAAAAATAAAAATAAATAAAAATTAAAAATAAGTAAAAGAACACCTAAATTTCATATGTTTCACTCAAAAGATGTTTGAACTGTCTTAAGTAGGAATTTGCCACCCTCAACAGATTGGAAGGGTTTTAACCTAGGCAGAAAAAACAATGTGTACGCCACAAAAAAGTGAGAGGTCAACTGGTGACACAGCTGAATGGATTCACGTAAGAGATGGATGAATGTTGGGAAATGAGGCTGAGGAGACAGAAGTCCATAGTATAAATCCTAATGAAGAGATTTCTAAGAAGTTTACAGACTTCATTCCCTAAGAAGACATGAAAGATTTTATACTGAAAATGATTAAACTAAACATATTATTATTCAATGATTACTCCAATTTCAAAAAAGTCTTCACCCTATGTGTATATATATATAAGAACTGTTCACAATCTTCTGCCACTCAATAAAATATTTATTCGCTTTTTCAGAAAAGGTTTATTTCATTATAGCTACTATTAAAATAGTCAATAACTTACAATAATCTGTAACAAATTTTAAACATCATTCTTTTGATTTAAAAAGTTGTACATACTCATCACAGAAAATCGAAAAAATTGTGAAAAGCAAAAAAACCACCTACAATCCTAGCTCTCAGACATAAGCACTATCAATTTTTTTAAACATAAATTAGATTCAAACAATTTAACCATCAGGGTTTTATTTGTTCAACAATTAGTTGTATTTCTTTAACTTCTCTGAAGGTGTTCAATACATTATATGACAAGTTGACTTAGTCCCATCATATGGATATAATATAAAAAATATACTCTGGCTGGGTGCAGTGGCTCACACCTGTAATCCTAACATCTAATCGTCCCACTTGGGAGTCCGAGGTGGGCAGATTGCCTGAGCTCAGGAGTTCAAGACCAGCCTGGGCAACTTGGTGAAATCCCCTCTCTACTACAAATACAAAAAATTAGCTGGGCGTGGTGGCGCACACCTGTAGTTCCAGCTACTCTGAAAGCTAAGGCACGAGAATCACTTGAACCCAGGAGGCAGAGGTTGCAGTGAGCTGAGATCACACTACTGAACTCCAGCCTGAGTGACAGAGACTCTGTCCCCCCGCCCCCTCCAAAAAACTTTACATATACTTAATCCCATTTTATTGAATAATTAGGTTGCTTCTAGTGTTTCAATAAATATAATGTGATAATGGCATATTTCCATACATGTGCATACCTTTGAACTAAATAAGAAAATATGCTTCTAAACCCACCTAAAATAATTTCAAATATGATAATTTATATAAATGTCTTCTCAAAAACTTACCTTTTTCTTTTTAACACTTCTATCAGGCAGAGGAAAATGGTCTTCTAGAAACTTGCCCAAGGTACTCAAGAGTTTCTCCTTATATTCTTTTACATTAAGCATTTTAGTTTTCAGCTCATTAAAGATTCTAATAGATTCAAAAAATTAAGAGAAACATTTAACTGATAAAACACATACGCACATGTAACTAGTTATTCATGAAGTTGATCGAAAACTTTGTTAAAACTTCATTTGCTCAAACCAAATAACTACCTTTTTGAAAATAATATTGTGTATATAACAAGTAGAGAAACCAAAGGTACAGTCAAGTCACTCATAAAATATCATATAATAGCTAATAGTTAACAAAAGTTAGGCCAAGACTCCTGATTCCTGGTAAAATTAACTTCATCTATGTTTCATGTAACGCAAAAAATAAAATACTTTTCCTATTTTAAAAACCTAGAACATAAAATTAATACCTTGATTCAGAAAATGTTTCGACCTTACTTTTCAATTCACTGTGTAGTACATTAAGAGATTCCATTATCTGTTGCTGTTCATCCAACCACCGTTGTTCTCTTTTGACATGGAAAAACAAAACAAGCAATATCTAAATAAAACTTTAAAGGCCACTTAATACATATGAATGATTAATAGTAATTATAACATAAACATACCTTTCTAAGTCTTCCTTTAACTTTTCATTCTTTGACTCCATAGTGGACAGTACCATTTCAAGATCTTGTCTCAGCTTTTGGAACTAGAATAAAATAATTCAAATTAATTGTTTAGTCTTTAATCTTACAGTTTTATTTCTGAACAACAGTCAAATTTACATAGTGGTCCAGGATACTTCCAGTCAGACATCAGTAGTAAAAAAGCCTAGCAGAAAGCATTCGAAAAGGTAAATATACAGTAGGTGCTAAATTTGTGGTAATATTCTATGGTTAAATTCAAAAATATCAGAAGGGGTTTTGAGCAGTAAATTTTAATTTCATATTGAAAGGCAAGATAATGGTGTGTTTTCAGTAATCAGAGATTAGGTACTTTCTCTTTTTTTGTTGTTTTTGAGACGGAGTCTCGCTCTGTCACCCAGGCCGGAGTGCAGTAGTGCCATCTCAGCTCACTGCAAGCTCCGCCTCCCAGGTTCACGCCATTCTCCTGCCTCAGCCTCCTCCAGTAGCTGGGACTACAGGCGCCCACCACCATGCCAGGCTAATTTTTTGTGTTTTTAGTAGAGACGGGGTTTCACCATGTTAGCCAGGATAGTCTCCATCTCCTGACCTCATGATCCGCCCGCCTCAGCCTCCCAAAGTGCTGGATTACAGGCGTGAGCGACCGCGCCTGGCCCAGGTACCTTTTCTTTTCTTTTTCATTTTTATTTTTTGAGACGGAGCCTTGCTTTGTCGCCCAGGCTGGAGTGCAGTGGTGTGAACTTGGCTCACTGCAACCAACCTCTGCCTCCCGGGTTCAAATGATTCTTCTGCCTCAACCTCCCGAGTAGCTGGGATTACAGGCACACCACACCACGCCCAGCTAATTTTTGTATTTTTAGTACAGACTAGGTTTCACCATATTGGCCAGGTTGGACTCAAACTCCTGAGCTTGTGATCCACCTGCCTTAGCCTCCCAAAGTGCTGGGATTACAGGTGTGAGCCACCGTGCCCAGCCCCAGGTACCTTTTCTAAGGAGACTGTACAAAACAGACACAAATGACTCACTCATTCAATATTTATTCAATCCATCATTCAATCAAATTTGTGATCAATCATTGACTATTAGGCATTGCTGAAGGAGGGAGAGATGCAAAGGTGAAGAGAACAAAGAGGAATTCAGACATTTACTCCAGCAATGGTCAAGTGTCATAAAGAAAAAAAAAAATCAAAATAAAAGTAAAGGCATGAAGAGCAAGAAATGGACGTTTTAGGTAGTATGATATGAGAAGACTTCTCTGATCAGGTAACATTTAAGTAACAGAGAAAGGCCAGGTGCAGTGGCTCAAGCCTGTAATCCCAGCACTTTGAGAGGCCGAGGCGGGTGGATCACAAGGTCAGGAGATCGAGACTGGCCTGGCCAAGATGGTGAAACCCTGTCTCTACTAAAAATACAAAAATCAGCCGGGAGTGGTGGTGGGCGCCTGTAGTCCCAGCTACTCGTGAGGCTGAGGCAGGAAAATCGCTTCAACCCGGGAGGCGGAGGTTGTAGTGAGCCGACATCGAACCACTATACTCCAGCCTGGGTGACAGAGTGAGACTTTGACTCAAAAAAAAAAAAAAAAAAACAGAGAAAGAAGACAAAGGAAAACATCGTGTTATTCTCTAGCAAAAGAATGTTCCAGGGAAAGGGAATAGTTAAGTACTAAGGCCAGGAGGCAAAAGTATGCTTGAGGGATTTCAGGAACAACAAAGAAGACTAAAGAGAATTACAATAAGCACTAGTGTTCCATTCTCCTGATCACAAGGGTTTCCATTAGCTCTTTTTAAACATAAATCAGGTAAGTTCAACGTGTATATTACAAACCCTAAAGTAACTATGAAAAAAAAAAAGAAAAGAAATAACTAATAAGCCAATACTGATAATTAGACACCAGCCTGGGCAACATGGCAAAACCCTGTCTCTATAAATAAATACAAAAATTAGCCAGGCATGATGCCACAAGCCTGTAGTCCCAGCTACTTGGAAGGCTGAGGCGGGAGGATCACATGAGGCCAGGAGGTGCAGGCTGCAATGAGCTGAGATCATACCACTGCATGCCAGCCTGGTTAACAGAGCAAGACCCTGCCTCAACAAAGACGACGACGACGACGACGACGACAGCACCACCACCACCACCACACACAATCAACACCACCACCACACACAATCCAAGAAAGTGGGAAAAGGAAAAAACAGGAACAGAAAAACAGTAGGATGAAAAGAAAGATAAATCAAGGCCAAGCCTGGTAACTCATTCCTGTAATTCTATCACTTTAGGAGGCTAAGGTGAAAAGGTTGTTTGAGGCCAGGAGTTCAAGGCTGCAGTGATTTATGATATCAACACTGCACCCAGCCTGGGCAATCGAGCAAGATCCTCTGCTCCCAACCCTCCCTCCCCACCCAAAAATATAAATCAATAACACATCTTTCAATGCAACCATATTGATTATATTAAATATGGTCTAACAATGGCATTAAATTGAAAAATAATAGAAAGGTATCTAGAAAACTTTGCAACCATTTGGATACCAAAAACATACTTCTAAATAATCCATGGGTCAAAGAAGCAACCAATAGGAAAATAGGAAATTGTTATAACTGAGTAGAAATAAAAACATTAACATCAAAATTTGTCTTTTATTTTTTCATCCCCCAAACAAATGACATGCAACATCAAGATTTCTGGGATGAAGCAAAAGCAGTACTCAGATGAGAATTCAGACACTAAAAATCTATTTTTTTTTGAGACAGAATCTCACTCTGTTGCCAGGCTGGAGTGCAGCAGCACTATCTTGGCTCACTGCAACCTCCGCCTCCCAGGTTCAAGAGATTATCTGGCTTCAGCCTCCCAAGTAGCTGGGACTACAGGTGCGTGCCACCACACCCAGCTAATTTTTGTATTTTTAGTAGAGATATGGTTTCCCTATATTGGCCAGGATGGTCTCCATCTCCTGACCTCGTGATATGCCCACCTCAGCCTCCCAAAGTGCTGGGATTACAGGTGTGAGCCACTGCACCTGGCCTAAAAGCCTATTTTAAAAGAAAAGAAAGTTCACAAATTAATAACCTCAGCTTCTATCATAAGAAATATGAAAAAAGAGCAAATGAAACCCACAGTAAGTTGAGGAAATAATAACAACAAAGAAGTTAAATCAGTACAACATAAAAAATAAGGAAAAAGCAATGAAAATTGGTTTTTGAGGTCAATAAAATTAGATTAATTACTGGGTGGGGAGAAGGAGGACATAAATCACCAATATCAGAAATGAGACAGGTGACATCACTACAAACATTAAAATGATAATGGAGAAACGTTATGGACAATCTTGTCACTAATCAGGTAAGTAAATTATTTGAGAGACATAAGCTACCAAAGCTCATTTAGACAAATAAGAAATCTGACTGGCTCCAGAGAAACAGAATTTGCAATTAAAAATTACAAAATTTCTAATTAAAAATTTTCACAGATGAAAATTTTTTTTCATCTCTAAATTTTTATTCAGTTTATGAGAAAATTTTAGGCCCAGATGGTTTTATCTGAGAATTCAAACAAACACATTAGGAATAAAAAATTTCTATTCTATACAAACTCTTTAGAAGAGAAGAGAATACTTCCTAATTTGTTCCATGAGGCTGGTATTAAAGCCTAACAAAGACATCACAAAAAAGAAAACCACAGACCAATATACCTCATGAACACAGAAGCAAAAATCTCATAAAATTTCAGCAAATTACATACAGCAATAAGTAAGAAAGATTAATATACTATGGCAAAGTGGGGTTTATCACAGGAATATGCAGTTAAGCAAGCAGATAAAATCAATTTTAAGGCCGGGGGCGGTGGGTCATGCCTGTAATCCCACAACTTTCGGAGGCTGAGGCAGGCAGATCACCTGAAGTTGGGAGTTTGAGATCAGCCTGACCACCATGGAGAAACCCCGTCTCTACTAAAAATATAAAATTAGCCAGGTGTGGTGGAGCATGCCTGTAATCCCAGCTACTTGGGAGGCTGAGGCAGGAGAATCGGTTGAATCGGGAGGTGGAGATTGCAGTGAGCCAAGATCATGCCATTGCACTCCAGCCTGGACAACAAGAGTGAAACTCCATCTCCAAAAAAAAAAAAAAAATCAATTTTAAAAATCAATCAATGTAATTCACCATATCAACAGATTTTAAAAAGGAGAAAAACATTTAATAACCTCAATAAATTCAAGAAGAGTAAGTAACCAAATTCAATATTAATTTGTGATTTTAAAATAAAAGACTTAGGCCAGGGGTGGTGGCTCATGCCTATAATCCCAGCACTTTGGGAGCCCGAGGACTGAGGTTAGGAGTTCAAGACCAGCCTGGCCAACAACATGAAACCCCGTCTCTACTAAAAATACATAAATTAGCCCAAAGTGGTGACAGGTGCCTGTAATCCAAGCTACTCGGGAGGCTGAGGCAGGAGAATTGCTTGAACCCAGGAGGCAGAGATTGCAGTGAACTGAGATCGTGCCACCGCACTCCAGCCTGGGCGACAGAGTGGGAACGACGGAAGGAAAGACAGAAGGACGGAAGGACAGAAGGACAGAAGGACAGAAGGACAGCAGGAAGGGAGGAAGGAAGGAAGGAAGGAAGGAAGGGAGGAAGGGAGGAAGGGAGGAAGGGAGGAAGGGAGGAAGGGAGGGAGGGTATGAGGATAAAATAAAACTTCATAAACTGTAACAGAAGAAAATTTCTGCAATCTGATTAAAAGTATCTATGAAAAACCTACTGCTAACATCACACTTAATGGTGAAAGGGCAAATGTTTTCTGATAACCTCAGGAATAAGGAAAAGATGTCCATTCTTACTATTTCTATTCAATATTTTACTGAAGTACAAGTTCTAGGACAGCAAAATAACCCCCCCAAAAAGATATAAAAATCATACAGAAGGGAAAAAATATGTAAAATTGTGTTTGATCTCAGATAATAAATATATAGAATAAAAGTTTCTGAAGGATATAAAACCAATATATAAATATTAATTATATTTGTATTTATTAGTAATAAATAAAAATTGAAATTTAAGGCCAGGCAC